AAAAAATTTCAAATACAAAGATTGGGACGAAAAATTTTGAAACATAAACATTGGATGAAAAAATTTGGAACACAAACACGTTGAGCCAAAAATCTGACACACACATTGAAAGAAAAAAAATTTAAAACACATTGAAAGAAAAAAAAATGAAACCCACATTGAAAGAAAAATAAATTAAATGCATATTAAAAATGAAAAGTGGAACACATATTAAAAAAGAAAATACTTGAACGAAAATTATACTAATCAAAAAATATTCTCAAAACACTGCAGAAAAACATTGAAAAAATGCAAACCGCACTTAAAGCATACAGCGAAAAAAAATTAAACACACACTAGAAACTAATTTAAACACAACACTGAAGGAAAGGTTTGGAAGAAACACATGACAAAAAAATTTGGAACATGAACATAGGTTCAAAAAATTAGGAACACAAAAACAAAACGAAAGTATTTGGAACACAAACACGGGATGAAAAAATTTGGAACAGAAGCAAGGGGAAAAAATTTTTGGACACACTGGAAAATAAAATTAGGACCGAGCATTGAAAACAGAAAAATTGAAATACATATTGGAAGAAAAAATTTGAACTGCATAATGAAAAATGAAAGTTAGAACAAACATTGGAAAGGGAAATTTGGAAAATACATTGTAAATAAAAACTTTCACGAAATGAAAATAAAAAAACAACACATGCTGGAAATAAAAACAAATCATGTGGAATAAAATAGTATCTACATTTAAAAAAAAGAATAAAAAGTTGGTACGCAATGAATAAGACAGAAAGCCAATTAAAAAAATAATCGAAAACATGAAAACAGAATAAAAAACTGGAAAAAATCAAAAACAAAAATTGGAAAAATTTAACATCAAATGTAAACAAAATTGAAAATATGAAATAGAATTGAGCACGTAAAAATACATAAAGATGGTCCCTCTAAAAAAAAAAATTGGATTGAATGTACTTGAACAAAAAATTTACCAATCGAATAACACTTTGAAAATACGACAGAAGACATTCAAAACATTTAAACATCACATAAAGCACTCAGGGAAAAATTAAAAAAACACATATTGGAAGGAATTAATTGGAACACAAATAGTACACAAAAAAATATAGAATACAATACAGAAATATAAAATAGTGGGATGAATAAATTTGGAACACTAACACATCGTGAAAAAATAAGGCTCACAAACAATGGTTGAAAAATATGCGGAACACTAACACTGGGTTAACAAATTAGGAACACTAACACAAGGTGAAAAAACTTGTAACGCCAATACAGAATGAAAAAATTTAGAAAACAAAGACAGAACGAAAAATTTCGCAGCAGGAACATAGAACGAAAAATGTAGAAACATTAATACTGGATAAAAAAATTTGGAACATAAACATTTGAAGAAATAGTTTGGAACACACATACGAAATAAAAATCAAAAGAAAAAAAATTTTAAACTCAAAACTACAATGAAAAAAATTATAATTAGTTAAAAGGAAAAAAAGAGGCAGAAAACGCTTTATGATGAAATAATGATAAAACCGACCGATCGAAATTCGTCGTGCGTGATTTAACTGCGGGAAAACCTCGAGCGAATGTTGCGAGCCGACGGCAAACCGACGGGAAAAAAAACATTTTAATTAATTTTTTTTTTCTATTCAAAGAAAAAATGCATTACCTCTTTTCAGTAATAAATGAGAGTTTACTTCCAGTATCGTACCATGTAAAATAAATAAGTGCCTTACCTTACAAGAGTGAGCTTACCTATTAACGTAGAAAAGTACGCAGCCATTTTGTGATCGTCACGTAAAATATCTCTTCAATTTAATTAAAACTTACCTACAATACTCACTAACTCTTCACTGATTTCATTCATGAATGTCAGATGAGTACTTACTGGTAATCTTTTTCTTCAGATTCTAGAAAGAAAAGAAAATTAAACTCAATTCGTAATGGGAAATCGAAAGATTGCACTGCTTTCATACATAAATATTCGTTCCTTTTTCGATCTTTAAGAAAAATAGTTCCTTATTCAGAACATTCTTTATTTAAAAATTAAAGAGAAAAACAATCAGATTGTTTTAGAACATACTGTGTGGAGAGGAGTTATCGACAATGTCAACCTTCATCTACGAAAAGGTACCCCAACATATAATCGAGTTAACATGTCTTATATATTAGAGAATTGTATTTTTGTAGTGATAGACACACTGCAGAACTCCCCCACCAGAATTATAGCTGTGATAGAATTCAATGAATGGATACCACTAGTTGATTTATCGCTGTTTTGTGAAAAGCTGGGAGAGCTGTATTAAGATCACAGTACTTTTGAGCTGATCATGAGAGTTGTATTAAGTTGACTGTAGTAGTCGCTCCTATGTCGCCTTTAGCAGTCGAGTGTATACGTTGTGGGCGATTGAGACTGAGTAGCAATGGAGAGAGTCATAACTAACAAGTCCAACTGTTCAATGTGAACCATCCATCGAAGAAGGCGTGTTCAGATCGAAGTGGCCGTTACTGTCAAGGTAGGCATGTTCAAATCAAGTCCGAAGGTCACCAATGTGGGGAAAGGAGTTACCAACAATGTCAGTCTTCATGTATGTAAAGGTACCCCAACATAGAATTGGGTTTAAATGTCTTATATACTATTGAATTGCCATTGTATTTTTGTAGTGGTAGACACACTACAATACGTTGAAAAATGTAGTCTATTGCTATGTATTATCATAGTTGTGAAACTATTCAGTACTTTAGTGTTTTGAGTTGGAACCTTAATACTGAAGAGCAAAATAAAATCTTTAAATAAGCTTCCATTGTCTCAAATTTTAATTGTTAAATATATCCTAAGAAATCAAAGAAATCATTTATCTTCAACTATATTCTCATAACAGAGCTACCAACATAGTTTAACCAAAGAAAAGAGTACCATCTTGTAGATAAAATATAGAACTGAATAAAAAACATTTATATTTAAAAAACCACTTGTATTCAGGCACCACTGCAAATTTAGTTCTGCTCCACTTTGCACCA